CGCAATGAGGCAAGAATCAGACCGCCTTGATGCAGGTGATAATTACGCTATAGGCGATACAGAATCAGAAGAGTCTGACTTCGAACCAAAGACAAGCAACAGTTCAAAACCTCAAATACAGGCTTCTTCATCATCTCAAACAATAGAAATGGATTCAATTTTAGCTGAAATTGATGCAATGTTAGCTGAAATTCAGAAATAAATACCAGAAGGAGGGTCGGGTAGTGAGTACTTGTTTAGAAAATTTTCGCTGGGCCCTCATGAACGTGTGACTTAAATTGTCCACCGTTTTCCTAATGCTATTCTTGAGATTACAATTGAGAGATATATTTTTATATTAATATTTTTTTCTTATAATTGACGGTGTCGAAGTGAAATAAAAATCTATGAAGTGTATACACCCTTTTCTTCACTAATCGTTCACAATTGCCAGTAGATAGATCGGTCCTTGGTTCATACTTATTAAATAAAAGTCTTAGTTAATAAAATCCATGTGTTTGAAATATAAACATGTCTAATATCTTGACTTTGTCAAGGGAATGGGAAAAAAATAATTATACCCGATATATGTTAACCAAATATGGTTTAAACTATATCAATAATTTAAAAACACCAGAAGCTTGGTTACAATTTGCGAAGTATCATCCACCCAAATATATACGTGAACGTTTATTAATTCCTGGATATGAAATTAATAGTAAGAATCATTGGGAAAACTTCGTATTCCATATCAAAACTAATTTGACCAGCCATAAGCAAATAGATAATGATCTTAAATATAGAGATTTTAAAGTTCAACTAGCATTGTATAAAGAAAATCGAGCATCATTAATTATTCAGCAGACATATCGTTTATGGAAAAAACAAATAAATTCAGCTAAAATAATCCAGCATGCAGTAATTAAATGGCTCTATCGACCTGATGGAATATTTGCAAAACGTGCTCAAGATCGGTATTATTGCGAAGCAATGACCCAAAGGGTCTAGAGGCATAGCCTCCTCACTTCATGAATCAAAATGCTAGTAAACTTGAGAATTGTCAGTAGATCGATCAATTCTGGTTCATACTAAATAATTCGTGAATGAATAGATCACCAAATCCGAAATTAGCTTAATAGAATCTGCAAATTAGTTTTGTTAGTCGTGAAAAATAAACTATATAAAAAAGCTAAGTATAAGTAATTTCATTATTAAAAACTTATCTGGTAATTCATTATTATTATGTCTCTTACTAATCTTCAAAATCTCGCCTTGAATATTTTAAAAGAAACAAAACATAACATAGTACAAGATATCGTTATTACAGAATTGCCACCATGTAAACTATATGAAAACAAAATATTATCTGTTAATTTCGAATCATTTACAATACTTTCATGTGGACATATATATCATAGAAAATGTATAGAAAAAAAATTTTTACTTACAACAGAAAACAAATGCCCTTTATCTGATTGTAGTAAAATCATTGATCCAGTAGTATCCAAACGAAGGTTTTCCGAATCATCATCTCAATCTAGTGGAACTTCTGCTCTTGCAGAAATGTTAGGCGATGACTTTGGATTAGGTTCTCCAATGGCTGTATCACCATTATTAGGTCAGAAAGACCCCCCACTTCATGAGACAGAAGGTGGTCACAATAATAATCCAATATTAATTGAAAATGAAACACATAAAAAGCGTGTTGGTGAATTTACCGATAAATCATCCAGTAAGAAAGCAAAAAAGCAAGTTTCAAAGGAAGATTCTCCTATATTAAAAAAACTTATTGAGGAATTGACATCAGTGGTATCTGAAAATTCTGAAAAAGAAATAGAAGCCAATGAAAAAACAAATAATTTTTTATACCATTACAACAAAATTACGCAGGCTGAATCTAAAAGTGAAATAGCAAATAGAGATGTGATTGAATGTTACTTTAACTTTGGTGTAGTTTTAAAAAAACGATTTGATCATTACAAAAATATGAATCATGGTGAACGCGCGTGTTTAGCCTTGGTTAATGATGAAATCCGAAAACAACTTCCCATTAATATCACCAATGATGCATTGAAAAAAAGAAAGGAAAGATCAGGAAAAATATATGATTTATTTGTTAGTATTGGTAAAGAGAAAATAAGAGGTATTAGATCATTTTCGGTAGAGTCAAGATAATATTGATTATATAATCGTTGAAATTTTAAAAAAAAGATAGTAAAGTTTGATCGCTACTGCGCCACATTACTGCGCCAGTGACATGCATGTCACGTCTGAATTTATAAAAATCATGTACCAATGTATTAATTACTTATTACTGCACAAAGTGAACTGATCATTGAATAAATAAACCTGCCCACATCGGGCCTAGTGACATGTGTTAGAATTATTTCGCATATAAATTTATCATCTTACAAGGCTTATCATGCATAACTTATTTGTGAGACGGGGCACAATCTCAAAGTGCCATTTTTCATTTTTCTGGAATTAGTACCTAACCAAAGTCAGTCAATTAACTCATGCCACATCTATTCACTCTGGACCACAAAGTGCCACACATTACGGGTTTGTATAATAAAAAATTTTAGCCACATATAGATTATTTTTTTCTGTTAATATATAACGATGAAAGATCAGAATAACATACCCGCGAATAAAAAACACAAAATTATATCGAAAAGTGGCATATCTTTAGAGGTTGGAAGCACGGGTGTAAGGTTTGTGACGAATGCAATCACCATTCACACCTATATTGTAAGACATGCAAAAAAGTAGCGGATGGCGATGTGAATGCGATAATTCTCGAATAATTAACGTAAAAAAATAAACAAATTTATCACTTATCATGCATAACTTGTGAGACGGGTCACAAGTATTTTCTAATCAAAGCGGTCAATTAACTCATGCCAACAGGAGTAACCGTTACTGTTACAAATATAGTTTAACTCGTGAGGGATTGTATCTGTAACACATATTATAGAGTAATCCCAACATAAATAATTTTTTCCTTAACTAATCACACCGGATGTGGGATTATATGTGTAACATCGACGGTTCCCCTGTTACTCATGCCATATAAAAGTACTGATTCCCCAACTTTTGAGTAAATTTCGTATTATTTAACGTAACTCATGGAGTATAAGTTTATTTGCGGTCGTCACCAATGCAAAGAAAAGGAACCACATGCGTTAGAGTGTTGTCAACTCAAGAAGAAGAATGTAAGTTTTCATTGCACTGTTTTTATTTAATATTGCCTAAGTATTTTCTGCCGTCAAATGTGGGGAAGCTTGTGTATGTCTAAGTTGAACTTTGTTATAGGATTCTAAGGAACAGAACAAGAAGCTAGCGGATGCTATATATACTATAGATGTTCTCTGGGTATGAGACACTAGTTAAAGATAAAAATTCATTCACATTCACATTTTATATCTTATCATAGCCATACATACAAAATGCAAAAATTGACGACGTATCAATCGAGACATTTGCTAATTGGGTGGCAGAATACGCCACAACCCATGGCCTAAACAAGCAATACATAACTAATGGAAATTTACTACGTTGGTATAAAATTATACTTTGGAAATGGCAAAAAGAAGAGACGGTGAAGTATATCCGAGATAAAATTAATAAAGCAAACAAAATTACAAACTCAAAAAATGTCGCTAAGGATGCTTTGGTAAACAGCTTGTTCATTTATTACTTTATTCTTTTCATTGCCTATGATTATATTCTTAATGAAAATGCTGGGCCAGTGTCCACAAATGGACTCGAGGTTTACCCTTCATATTATTTGCTAGTAGACGTGCCTTTGATTCGCACTTTCCACCCATATTTTTTCATATGCCTTCTATTCATCATTTTATCTCGTCTATTTCGGCGCTTTGCAAAAACCTTGGGCTTTAGGTTAACTCGGTGGTATAATATGTTTGGGCCAGTTTCGCATTGTTGCGCCACCAATGTGTTTCGAGGTTTACCCTTCATATCTATATTACTGGGCCATTTCTCTTTGGTTGATACACTTTTTTCTTTATTATTCTTTATCTGAATTATCTTCTTTTTTATGGTGTCGAATATGAGGCCAAGTTATCTATAGTTTCAAATAATTCAAATTCTTTTGAGCAATCACATTTTCGCTTCATCTATCTCAGGAAAATTTATCACATTGCTCTGAGTCTTCCTCTATAATCGTATCCGGTGACTCAAGCCTTCAAGATCATCAAGAAGCATCCGAAATTTTTAACTTTGCCGGCTTTAAGGATACAAAGATTGATAACAATCCTATTATCGATCTTATACTTCAGCATAACCTAAATTGTGTTGCACATAACGATCCAATACGATCTGGTCATCTTTTTGCAACCTTTCCACACCCATTATTATATAACAAAAATCCCGATAAGTTTGATGCAATCATAAACCGGAATGATCGTCAGTTTGGAAAACTAGCCCATCCATTATCAAGGAAGATGGCAGAATGGTTTTTCGAGATTTATAAACGATCAGATTTTACTTCTCACCATTTCGAAAGGCCAGAGTTTCTGACATCTAAGGAGGGGCATTTGGCGGTGCAAATTGCGTCTACCATGTATTTATTTGTTCATGTTCTCATAACCTTATTTCAATTAGCTATTATAAAATAATTATCCTATTTGTTTCATAGACAATTATCCGTGAATCATTATCAAAAAACGGGTATGAATTCTCAATCAGTAAATTCTGAAGCTACCTGGGTAAATTTCGTGGAAACCCTGCTAAAAGGTATTATTAATCGCATTAAAAATCTGGTATATGAAAAGTAAGTGATTATATATTTTCAAATGTTCGATCATTTTGTGCAAATGTCCTCCTATCACTCCCCAAATATTACACCGTTTAAGCACTTTAAGTACAACCGTGGATTATCTTGACTATCAAAAGGAGAATGGAGAAATCTGCAAAATTAAGCCAGATGGGACTATATATTTTGTTATCCCCGAAATGCATTTTCCAATTGGATTCCTTGAAGGTCAGAAGCCGTACCTGCCAAACGCAACAAAAAAATCACAGACCGATGCAGAAAAGCTACAAAGGGAGATTAAATTGGCGCACGATTCTCTTTTGAGAGACATACAAAGCAAATATTCAGCTCGGATTTCGAAAGAAGTCGCTAAAAAAATATTTGAAATTCCATTCATCACATCTCAAATAACTGGTGAATATTTTGAAAGTCTACATTTATTATTGAACAATTTATCAACTGAATGTTTCTTTGTAGGTTCTGAAGCAATAATCTCAGTCTCAGATCGAACGCTTCATCCAATATTGACAACGTGGGAATTATGCCGGTTCCGTATTGATTTTCACAAGTTAGAAAGGATAAACGATATTCAGAAAATTTTTTCGGGAATATTCGTATTGCAGGAATTGTTTGAAAAAATAGATACGAGTTGGAATGAACTTTTTATATTTTTGGCTGATGCTCCTCAGCTACTACCAAAAAAACGCTACAATTTGTCAACAGGAATCATCCCATTTTATCATTATGCTCTGGGAGAATATGACTCTCTTGAGTATGATTACCAATTATCACAAAACAGATAATGTTAAAATATCTTGTATTTCATTACCGAAATAAAGTTCTAGAATTCTTGGACTAGTACTTAGCGATATACTTTTTATGTTGGTATATGCTGATATGTGACTGACTTTCAAGGAGGTTAAGTATGTATTTCATTTTAGCAATATAATTAAAGCATAAATGAATTGAAGAGGGATATACGATTTTATCAAGGTGCAATTGAGAGAAAAAAAAAGCCCAGAAATATCAAATTTTTACCGGGTCGGGATAGGTTAATCGGTAAAGAGTATTACATCGTAGTATACTAAAAAGCGGTTTAAGTATTACAAGGCTCGATAATCTTATAAAAGAAAAAGCCATAATCGATTCATAAAATTTTTGGTCGGGTCTAGTCAAAAAATAAATCACATTTTGCCAATGATTATGGTGTTTCTAATAAAAATAAAAAGGAATGTTTATTCTAAAATTTTTGTATCATATAATTAATATTTCTATTTAAATTTCAATTATTTTTTACCAATTTACATAATCACGTTAAAATAAAAAGTTGGAGTCCAGCGGACTCCCTTCTTTATTTCATAAAAAAATATTGTCGGGATGAAAACCTTACAAATAAAAAAATTTTTACAATTTTACTACGTATATTAAAAGGTTATAAACCACCGTTAAGCCACTGTTGAAGTGCTGTTGGCTTTTTCATAATAAATATATGTAAAATCGCTAAGCCACAGTTAAAGTGCTGTTCAAGATAAGCGAAATAAAGCCACACATGTATGTTATTTATGATATTTCTTTGTTCGTATCCACAGCCCTTATTCTAAATTTGTATACTGTATACTAACAAAATGTTTGTTGAATTTCGTAGACGCATGTTGATTGAACATCTTATACCGATACGCATATGCTTTATTTAAAATTCGGTACAAGAAGAGTATGGATATTTATAGCTTATCAGGTAATCTACCCCTTAACGTTAAAAACAAATATGAGGCTAACAATTATGCAAACACG